AAAAAAAAAAAAAAAAAAAGAAAAGAAAAAGAAAAAGGAAAAGGCAAACAAACTACAAAAAAGCACTGCTTCAGCGCCCTCAAATCCGTCTGCGCAAGCTCAGCCCCTGCACCTGGGAGGCCCCGCCCCATGGCCCTCCCCTCTCCCGGGCTGTTCTTGCGGGGTTCCAGTTTATGTTGTTTCCCAACTTTTTCATTCCCTCGGAATCCATTAGCCTCCCATATCATAAGTTGCTTTTTCTATTTCTTCCCAGGCCTCGCAGATGCTTCGAGCCCTTAGAAGTCACCCACGGTCCCGGCCCCGCAGCCTCAGCCGCCCGCTTGCCCCCCACGTCCCGGGGGAGTTTGGTCGCGTCCGGCCTCCCGCCCCGGAGCGCGTCCGCGTCGTCATGGCGACGCTCCTAGTCCCTAAGGCTTCGGCCGAATCCCACCCGGGAAGGATCCCCAGTGTGAGCGGCCTGGGACCTGGGCCTGGGGTGGCCCTGGGGCGGCCAAGGGGCAGCCGCCAAGCTGCAGAGGCAGCCTGAGCCCCGAGCGGGGGTCCAACCGCAAGTCAGTCTTGGACCTGGGTCGGAGGAGAGGTCTGGCACATAGGGTTGAACTAGGATGGGTGATGCGTGGGGTCTGGGGACTACCCCTGCCCTTAGCAGGGGATGGAGTAAAGGGTCGCTGAGGGGAGAGGCGTTTAGCCACCAGGTCTGCCCAGTAGAGGACAGGGCGAGGGGACCAAGGATGTGGAGTTTGGCAAGAGAGACGAGCTCACGTGGCAGTCGGTGGGTGAGCAGGCGAGGGGGCGCTGTGGAAATGGCTTACTCGTGCACGTTACTGAAGGGCGACAGGGGACCTGAGGGACCAGGAGGGTGACCCTGGCCAGGTCAAAGAGGTGGAGGGGAAGGAGCAGGTGAGGAGGAGGCGGTGCTGAAGAGTGGGCAGGGATGTGAGCGGAAAGGAGAATATTCCTTCAGAGAGCGACTACTAAGCGCCTCCGGGGCTGTATTCACTAGACTCTTTTTTTTTTTTGAGACAGAGCCTCAAGCTGTCCCCCTGGGTAGAGTGCCGTGGCATCACAGCTCACGGCAACCTCCAACTC